TGGTGCTCAGGGAAATAAAACAAAAATAAAAGGATTCCAGGAAGTTCCAGTCATCCTCCAGGACAGAGAAGACAGCGGCCGGGATGAAAAAGAAGCAGGACACAGTGACAAACCCGAGGAGCACGGCGTGGACAATGGCCACCACCTGCTTGGAGAAGCCCCAGCGGATGTGGAAGTAGAGGACGGGCCTGCGGGTGACGTGCACGGTGATGCGCTGGACCACAGCTGTCAGGAACAGGAGAGTGAAGGGAATGCCGATGACGGAGTAGATGATGCAGAAGGCCTTACCCCCATCTGACAAGGGCACGGTGTGGCCATAACCTACAAGGAGAACAAGGTCACTGAGGCGAAGAGGAAGAGGCAGAGTGGCAAACACATTCTTAACCTATATATGCCTATCATTTGCCTTTATTTCCCCCTAATCAAAGAGAAGAGCAAGACTTCAGGTCTGCCACCTTAGAGGCTCTAGCATAATTGTCATGTCAGTAAAATTCAACAGTGGTCACCGTAAGTTTGGAAGTCCACCATTCTTTGTAAAAGGCAACTGGCAATTCCAACATATCAGGGTCTCTGGAGTTGAATTCACTATCAGGCTCAAACACAAGTTCTGTGTGCTAAGGAGCGAAGGCCCACAACATCTTTTTTTTTTTTTTGAGACAGAGTCTCGCTCTGTTTCCCAGACTGAAGTGCAATGGCACAATCTTGGCTCGTGGCAACCTCTGCCTCCTGGCTTCAAGCGATTCTCCTGTCTCAGCCTCTCAGGTAGCTGGGACTATAGGTGCATGCTGCCACGCCTGGCTAATTTTTTTTTGTATTTTTAGTAGAGACGGGATTTCACCGTGTTAGCCAGGATGGTCTCGAGCTCCTGACCTCATGATCTGCCCACCTTGGCCTCCCAGAGTGCTGGGATTACAGGCAAGACCCATACCATCTTAGACCATCAGGAAAAACTCATCCGAGGCCACCCACTTCACCAGGGCCACTCTATCCCCTCCACCCCTTCACTTTCCCTAAGGATCCTCATTAGTGTCAAAATCTCAGTCTACACTCACCTCTCAAACAAACTACTCAGAATGTTCTAACAGGAACAACTGACAAAGTGTGAACAGAACCAAGATAATACAAGTCTAGTAGGAGGGTAAAGTAGACTCAGTGAAGATAGAGATATCAAAAAGAGGAAGAAAAGTTGAAGATTAAAGCATGCCAAGTCACAGGATGGAGCTCTTGTATATAGCACCCTTGACATGAGTAACTCCATCTTAGAAAACAACTCCATCTTACATTTCACAGGGCACTCTGCCAATAGGGACAAGATGTTATGCTTAATTAATCAAATCTGCAACCACCAGATAAGGGCAAAAACAACCACATTCTGTCACTATCAGTCCTCACCAGAGGACTCTGTGGCCATAAAAAGAGCTAGACATCAGTAGCTCGAAGTGGCCATCTTAACTGATACTGTCTTGCTGTCAATTGTGATTAGCACCTGGCATTTGCTGGGAAGGCTCTGACCCCACCAAATACTCTTCCTTGCGAAATCTGTGGATCCCTTGCCTGGCTCAGACCAGGGGATTCTTTGTGTGTTTGTTGCTCTCCCAGTCTCCCTGGACTGGTTTGTTAACCCTTCTTCTTGTCCCTTTTCTCTTGATGTTATACGTTACTTTGTTTGCTGTGAAATGTTTGATCTGTAACACTTACCCATTGATTAAGTATACTATTAAGTATGGTTTGCAATACAACTGACTTGTGAAGTGGCTTGTGCGCCCGCGGCTCTGACTACCAAGTGAACAGGAGGTACTAGGGAGACTTGCCTCCTTGCAATTCCATGCAGCTCCTGGCTTTTGTGACCGAAATAGCATCAGTAAAAGTCTAACACTATGGAAAGACACAAAGGTTATCCCTGACTTTGTACTGCTCATGAGAATACTTCTTGCAAAATATTTTGCCCAATTATCTGGTTAAATCGCATGTTCAACTGACACACTCCCTTCCACCATCATTTCTGTATTTACAAAGATGTCATAAATTCCACAAACAAACATTGAAAAAATTACATTAGGACCAGTGGTTGAAACACATGTCTATTTTACTTTCTACCAGGTTGAAGTTATTCCCAAATCAAGCCAATCAGGGGACTCTTTATCCAACCAACACCAACAGAGAACCCAGCTGGGCATGGGGCCTGGTGGCTATTTTTAAAATCTCATGAGCACTTCATCTTAAAAGAACTAACATGTCTGAACAAGTCAATTCAGGAAAAAGCCAGTTAAATACATTTTTAAAAATGAAATTGGATTCTCACAAAAATCCACATGGGTGATTATAATTGAAAAATAGTTTCAAAATCTGATCTCTAAAATAATAAACTCCTCAGTTGCAAATCCCCCAAATTCTCTGCCTTATACCTGAGGCTTATACAAGTGTGTGTGGTTATTAAAAAGTTTCCTCAACTATTACCGTCTACAGCCTCACCACAGCAGAGCCAAGGTTCTTGATCCACTGCCCCACAAGGTACAGTTTATGAATGAACTACAGCCAGGCCCAGGAATCCTCTGAGATTGTACATCCGAGTTCTGGTGGAGAGATTCCAGGGCTTCGATTCTCAAAAGGGGTCCCAAAATGGTTAAGAACCGCTCTCGTTCTGAGTCTGTTCCTGAATGCATCTGGTCCCTGCACACCCAGCTGCTCCTGGAATGCGGTGGCAATTTTGATATTGAAAGAGGGAAATGGGCAAGTTGGAGAGTGTCTTGAGAATAACATGAAGGATTATGCCAAATAATGTTCATGCAACATATGGAAGCAGGAGCCTTTGAATGTTTCATTTTGAGAAAAAAAAAGTGTGAAAGAAGAATGAGATTTGTTCTGAGGAAAGCAGCTGATATCACAGAATCACCTGAATTAATGAGAGCCACAACTTCAGCTAGGCACCAAGTCGGGCTGTTCTGAAGCTTGCAGAGATCTGGAAATAAAGTCTGAAAATGGAAATGTATTTAACCATAAAAAAGCCATTCACAAATGTAGTCACTAGCTTGTGACTGAAAGGAGATATTAATAATAGTAAGCTGCAATGGATGAATTTAGCTTTGACACTGATTTTGTCAAGAAAACAAGATCAGCTGAGTCAGTTGGACTCCACGAGGCCCTTTAAGTCTATTTGATTACTTTTTTTGGTACCCTTTTTATAAATTAGCTTTACTAAAAGTGTAACACACAGCCCAAATCTTCAGTACCATCTGTTCCAATAGTTTACATGATTTAGGTTCTAGAAGAGAAAAAAAAGTAAACAAACTTGTTGTTTAAAATATTTTAGCTTAGGAATTTTCTCTCAAATTAGCTCTTTTCATTAGAATGTTAACTAAATCTCATTTACTAAAATGTTGCCTCCAAGCAATAAAAATAATCATTATAAGACTCTAAGACCTCTCTCTGCAGGGACATTTTTATGCTAGTACTGTAAAAATATTATATATTCCCACTAAGACATTAAAAATCACCACTGCACAGATCCTTACTGTAAGTAATTTTCCTCCTCTGATGTGTACATAAATAATTTTTGTTAATGGAAAGTAAAATATAAAATTTACATCTCATTTGCATGCCATACACTTAACACAGGCCATATTGAGTGAACCACCCTCTGCACCAACTATGCAGGTTTCATTAGCTATAGATGGCTTAATGTATCCGGCGGAAACTTTCAGTCTTATTGAATTTTAATGAAGTGATGAATAATTTACTCAAGTCCAGTCAATTGAACCTTCAGATAAATCATGCAAAACTCATATTTTTGAATCTTATGATCATATTTAACTCCATTACAAACCACAAAGAATTTAGCAAAATGTTAATAGATCTGGCTCACTTGGGTTAAATTTTTCTAAGGCCGTCATCACATAATTTTTAGACCCAAAAGATTGAACATAACAAAGACTGCTGAAAAAACTGACCTCAAAATTAGTTATGCTCCTGAGACAAAGCTCTCACTCACTAGTGTTGGTAAATTCTAGCCTCCTGTTCCACAAATGCTGGGTTTTCTGTTACGAACATGCACATGTGGGGCGTGTCTGAGTATACGTATAATGGGAGGTTGCATTGACGACAGTCCCTACAAAAATTTGCCTTCCCATCTGGCTACTCTAACTACAACAACCCTGACATTATGCTGGCTAATACCCAGTCAGGGGCTATGCCTTGCTAGATTTTTCTGGTATTTAAATGCTCCATAATGAGGCCAAGACAGAGAACCCCGTGGGCTCCTATTGAGTACATCAGAGCAAGTCACTGATATGCAACTTCTTCACATATACCAGATGCTTTTGAGAAGGGTGCAGCTTACCATGGCCCCACGTTGTGACCCCGAGCCTGTAACAGTATCACTTATTTGCATTATTTAGTATGATATGGAAGAATGTATACATTCTCTATGAAGTTAGCTTGACACATGTGAAGAAGAAGAAGCTGCAAAAGAAGAGCCTCAGTCTCTCCACCACAACAGAGATATTGAAATCAGTCCCAATGCTTCCCCTTCTGCAAAACAGAATTTACTTTGCAATCCTGGAGTTCAGCTTATTAATTATATCTTTCCCACTGGACTGTGTGGCCCTGGAGAGTAGACTGCACCGTCTCCTACTTTAATTCCTCCAGAATCCCCAAACACAGCACTGTCCAGTCTACAGTGGACAGTAACACTGGTGCTGTTAGTGACTTCAGTCACATGGGCCAGAAACTCAATTGTATGGTAAAACTCATTGTACAGTGATGAATAAGCTTCAGGTCAGGTTGACTTTCTCTGAGATTTTCATTTTGCAATTTGCTTGAAATAAGTTTTTGTTTCATATTTTCAAAAAAAAAAGCTAACTTTGAGATACCTTGCATACAACAAGATTTCATAATTCCCTTTTGACAGCAATGCTTTTCATGGATAAACTCTGTTCCTCCTTCCTGTCCATGCCATGCACACGATAAAGAATGTACATCTTCTCTTATTTTGCTTTTGTTAGAAAAGGAAGTTTGCCAGAGAAAGAAGGTTCAAGGAAGCTCTAAACAGACTGAAGAGAAATGCTGACAGACTGAAAGTGGTCTAGAGTCAATACACGTGACCAAGGAGGCACAGATGGTAAGAGGTCACAGAGGTAACAAGTCATGGCAGGTGCGAGTGGTCTAGGGTTTTCTTGGGATCACTTTTTACTGCCTCAATCATTTAATACTTTTCTAAACACCTGTTGTTTCTACTCATTCATGAATGGTTTCTTGTTAACAAGCCGAGACAGAGAGGCAATGGCATTCCTAGTCGGAACACTGCATCAATTCATTACCTTACAGTGGACATCTGAGAGAGGGACTAAATTAATACACCACGCTTAAAAGCTAGAGGAGCCAGCAAACAATTCAAGTGCCACAGATAAGAACCTTGCACTTTTTGCAATGAAGTTTCCACTAAAGATGGCAGAGCAGTGACAGAACAATTAGAAAGACTAACCTTGGGCATAGTGGCAGATGCAAGTAATTCCAGCTACTTGGGAGGCTGAGACGGGAGAATCGCTTGAACCCAGGAGGCAGAGGTTGCAGTGAGCTGAGATCGCGCCATTGCACTCAACCCTGGGCAACAAGAGCTAAGCTCCATCTCAAATAATAATAATAATAATAATAATAATAATAATAATAACTTAGGCAAGGGGAACTCATCATACATTCATCAGTCTGAGGAGATAGGTTCTGGAAAGGAGGAAAATGGGGTGAAAACACCCAAGAAAAACAGCCACACCTTGCTGCTTGCCATATGTGTATAAGCTGTAGTGTATGCAGAACTGTGAACCTACATAATAATTTTCAAATCCTAGACTTGCTATTTCTACTCTATAAATAAAAAGACTGAGTTTTTGAGAGTTTAGACAACTTGCTCAAAGTCATGCACATAACAAGTTGAGCCCACAGACTTTGCAGTCTACCACTCCAGATATATTATATGATGCAAAGAATACTGATGCATCAAAAGTCAACTCAAGTCCCAATATTATTTCCTAGGGGCTCTCAGTGAGAGGGTGGTGTTACTGGCAGCCTGCAAAAGAAGAACAATGGTGCCTTTCCTGTGGTTCCATGAAGCTGATTCTGAGATAGTGAGACTGAAATGAGAGGACAGGAGAGAGCAAAAACATGTTTAGTAACAAAGGACTGTGCATCTCGCACACAGAACTGGCTGGTGGAAGGTGGAGCCTGGGGTAACTCCACAGATATTAGGAGGTGGGTCAGCAAAACATCTATCAAGGGTCAGAGAATGTGCGCATAAGCTACGTGCCTTTCATATTCTTGAAATGGAGTTTGGAGACACAGAGATGAACTTCTGTGGTAAACAGTAAGGTCATCGATGAAGAAGATAGAGAAATGTCTCTAAATGTGACAAAGAAACATGAAACATACCAAATTAGTGGTGACCTTGAAAAGTAGAGTTTCTGTGGCAAAAATTAATATCAGTGATATAAGCACAAACTAAATTCCAACAAAATACTTATCTTCCTGTTTAGTTTAAATGATAACTCTGATGGAATCCCTATTTATAAATAAATATCTAATTGCAGAGATACGACCAGCTAAGTAAGATAGGATGTCCAATAGCCCATAGAATGAGTTATATTCTAAAGACATGAACATAAATATCAGGTAAAAGTTGAAATCAAAATTGTACATTATAATTATAAATTACTCAATACATAAGTACATTTTCATCATACAAATTTCAAACAGCACTGACGCAGCAAATGTCCCCTTGACTACCCATGTCTCTTCAGTTCTAGTTCTCTCCAGAAGTTACTGTAAGGAGTTTTCTTTGAACACTATGTTGGAGATTGCTCCATTTTGAATCATGAAAAACTCTCTGTTCTTTAAACACAATATTCTACTCTATACAAGCACCATAACTTATGCTAATCACCACCCCCAATGGAAGGACATTTAGAATGTTTCCAATTCTTCACTATTAGAAACAGGTCAAATACAGCCTAGCCAGTCCTCTGAGTCACTGGTAAGAGAGTATAACAGAATGGGCCATACAGTCTCTAATATTCCCTTCTAGCCCTATGCACTACACAAAATTTCAGCTCAAAATAGACCTTATTAGCAGAAACTTAAAAATGACCCCCCTAAAGCTTCTAACAACTCACTAGTTTCTGGTAGAGGCCACTCCCAGGGGTTATACACACAGTGCCTGGGTGTGTGTGTGTTCAAACGACACTCATCTGGCTGAAGGGTGCAGTACTGTGTCTTCCAGGTGAGAACTGGCCCCTTGCCCTGATGTAACTAGGAAGGTTCTCTTATCTTCCTTGGGCTTTCTTCTGTACTTCTCATGTTTGTGTTTATTGCTTTTGTTTACGTAAATAGGAGCTTGCCGGCAGTAGAGTTGACGTATCACATAACAACATTTCAGCCAACAACGGACCACATATATGACAGATTATGCTGGACCTGAGAAACTCCTCTCACCTAGCAATGTCGTAGCCATGGTAACATCAAAAGGCAATGCATTACTCAAGCGGCTGTGGTGATGCTGGTGTAAACAAACCTCCTGCGCTGCTATTTGCATGAAAGTATAGCACATACCGTTGTAGTGTATGTATATAGATTGATAATGATAATAAATGACTGTTGCTGGTTTATATAGTTACTGTTTTTTACTAATTTTTATCATCATTTTAGATTGTATTCCTTCTACAGGACTTGCCTGAAGCTGGTTTGCGTTTAACATTTTTTAAAAAATAAAAAATATTTAAAATAAAAATAATGTCAAATGTAAATCAGCTTCAGGAAAAGTCCTTCAGGAGGAATTCAGAAGAAGGCATTGTCATCATAGAAAATGACAGCTCCATGCGTTACTGCCCCTGAAGACCTTCCAGTGGGACAGGTGTGGAGGTGAAGAGCCTTACCCTGTGTTGGCCTAGGCTCATGTGTATGTTTGTGTCTTAGTTTTTAATAACAACAACAAAAAAGTAAAAAATAAAAAAAAAAATCTGAAAATGTAAAAAATAAAGCTTACCAAATAAGAACGTAAAGGAAATGTTTTTGTACAGCCCTATAACATGATCGTGTTTTAAGTTAAATGTAAGCATGAAAGAATCAAAATTAAAAACATAAAAAAGTTTATAAAATAAGTAAGTTACAGACAGCTAAGATTAATTTATTATTGAAGAAAGAAAACAATTTTAAATAATTGAACTTAGCCTAAGTGTCCAGTGTCTAGAAAGTCTGCAGTGGTGAACGGTCATGCCCCAGGCCTTCACATGCACTCACCACTTACTCACTGACTCACCCAGAGCAACTTCAATTCCTGCAAGTCCCATTCATGCTAAGTGTCCTATACAGGTGTCCCATTTTTTAAAATCTTTCATACTGTAGTTTTACTGTATCTTTTCTAGGTTTGGATATATTTAGATACACAAATACCATGTGTTACACTTGCCTACAGTATTCAGTACGGTAACATGATAGACAAGTTTGTAACCTAGAACGATATGCTACGACATTCAGCTTTAAGTACACTCTGTGTTGTTCACACAGTGACAGTAACACCTAAGGGTGCATTTCTCAGAACATATCCCTGTCGTTCAGTGACGCCTGACTGTAGTCTCATTTTCTCTCTTGGGGTCTGGGAGTCAGCATACAGTTTTTACATATAAGGAACTGCTTTTACTAGATGATTCTGGCTTAATATGTAGGTTTTCCTTTTTATCTAACTATCTAGTTAATTTTGTAACCCGTTTGAAAGCAGAGATGTCAATATTACATCTGCTGATGGTCTCACAAAGCTGTTGTTTTCTTCAGCATCATTTCCTAGGGACTTCAAATCCACAAAAGTAGAATGCTTATTAATTTTGTGTTCCAAATTATACAATCAAAAAATCTAATTTTCTAATTTTAAAGTAAGAAATGTGGCCAAGTTAGAAATTTCTATTATGAATGCTTTCTTTGCTAAGCATTAAACGTTTTCAGGGTTCATTCTCTTTGATTTTAAAACACATAGAATGATTCACTTTCCTCCTCAAACTGGTAAACTAATGATATCCACCCTGTTGTTCCATTTCTATATGTTTTCTTTTCCCTACCACTGTTTACTATTTAACTTTGAAATGTATTGAACTTAGCTTGAGAATTTAAATTATGACTTTTTGTCCTTATTTTTTCATATTTTAGAGCTGTTTTTCAATCCATTTTTAAACTATGGATCCCTGCCATGTCTTTTCACACCGCCCTCTGCATACTCTCACAAATGAAGATCATCTCATCAAGCCTTGCTTTCCAAAACTGAAATTTCAAAAGAAACATGCATGTTGCATAAACATTTTCGAATTCTTTATATTCCATTTCTCCATTGTCATTAAGCTGGTGACAGCCCAGCTTTTAATCCACTACCTTCTGCCGTAGGAGCCTAAGTTTGTCAATGTGCTAACAAAAACTTAACATTTTTAAGTTATAACTTAGCAAAATTTGCAGTAAGATATTAAACACTATAGTAGAATAGCATAGGAAACAGTCAGACCAGGGCCTGTCTGCTTTCTTTCTCTTTCTTTTCTTTCTTTCTTTCTCTCTCTCTTTCTTTCTTTTCCTTCCTTTACTTCCCTTTTCCCTTTCCTTTTTTTAATCTTTCTTTTTTTTGAATCATCGTAATCACACAGTTCCTTATGAAATAAATGAGTTAATAATCTCTTTATCATCCCAGATTCCTGCAGACAATATGGCTCGTTCAGTGGTGCCATCTACTGTGCACTGTGATTTTATGTCTTGCTAGGTGACTGTGATTATATGTCCTGCACTGTGATTTTATGTCTTGCTAGGTGACTGTGATTATATGTCCTGCACTGTGATTTTATGTCTTGCTAGGTGACTGTGATTATATGTCCTGCGGGCATGTAAAGGCAGCACAGGAACACGACCTAGTACTGGGTATGGTTAATGACCACACGGCGTCATAATTTTAGTTCAGCTTTCCCCCAATTCAACCAGTCACATTTCAAAACCATAAGAAGCCTACCTAAGGCTTTTTCATCCCAAAACTTACTGAGACTGCCTTGGTTGTGGGTGTTGGGATGAAGGGGGCAAAAAGCAATGAGAAAGCAGCTCTTGTGAAAGGGTGGATTTGTTCCCCTCTCCCAAAGCTAAAATAAACATATCCTCACTATTAACAGTGTCTCATCCCTCCGGGCACAAACAAAATGGGCTTCTTACTCAGTACTGGCCATCTCTCAGGCAAGATTCTCCTTTGATATGTTCTTACTAAACTACATGACAGGTTAATTAGAAAAGACACTTAAAAAACGGCATGCTATCTAATTCTCTAGCAGAGTATACTTACAATGTGTTATGACTAGGGTCAATGAAAGTAAACAAAAGAGACTTAAAATGAAGCTTTGGGCTGTGCACGGTGGCTCATACCTGTAATCCCAGCACTTTGGGAGACTGAGGTGAGAGGATTGCTTGAGGCCAAGAGTTCAAGATTACCCTAGTCAACATACTGAGATCCGTCTATACAAAAACTAAATAAATTAGTTGGGCATGGTGGCATGCACCAGTGGTCCCAGCTATTTGGGAGGCTGAGGTGGGAGGATCAGACTTGAGCCTGGGAGGTTGAGGCTGCAGTGAGCCTCGATGGTGCATCACTGCACTCAGGCCTCGATGTCAAGAGAGACTCTGTCGCAATCTAAACAAATAAATAAATTGAGACAGAGTGTGAAGCTTTATTGTGTGAAAGTTGATCATATGAACTGAATCATTCTTGTCATACCCAACGAAGACAGAGTCGATAAGCCAGGGGGAGAAAGCCCTGAGGGTAAAGAACATTGCTTTAAAAAACCGTAATTCTCTGCAGACCTGGCAGCTGACACTGGTGCAGTAACCCGAAACCAGTTTTGTCTAATGACTACTGAGAGGACCCACGGTGACTCTCAGGAGTCTGTGCACCGCTGTCATTTACCAATTGGAGCTTGTTCCTCAAAACCTTACCGGTGCCAGTGAAACTTCTCAAAGAGCAATATATAACATTTCCCCATTTTATAAAACCTCTAACCTTCTCCTTGTTCTTCAGGGTTAGCATTCTCAGTTCACACCGGAGACTCTCTCTTCCAGTTTGTAAACCAGTATTGCCAATGAAACTCTCTTTTCTGTTATCTAGCCATCCTGGTGGTCCTTTGGATGACACTTGTTTAATTTTGTAACCCATTTGAAAGCAGAGATGTCAATATTACATCTGCTGATGGTCTCACAAAGCTGTTGTTTTCTTCAGCATCATTTCCTAGGGACTTAAGATCCACAAAAGTAGAATGCTTTATGATTAACTAAACATGATGAGAAGCAACTACCAAGCCTAAGTTTAAACGCTGTCTAGCATACCCTTGGCATTGGAGCAGTTTTTTTTTCACGTTTCCTCGGTTGCTCTTCATCCAAGGGTATCTTAGTCTGTTCAGGCTGCTACAATGGAATACCACAGGCTGGGTGGCGTATAAACAACAGAAATGTATTTCTCACAGTTTCAGAGGCTGGAACGTCTCAGATCAAGGCACCAGCAGATTCAGTGTCTGGTAAGGGCTGCTTCCTCATAGGCTTTTTACTCTAATCTCACAAGGCAGAAGGAGGAAGGAGTCCCTCTTATGTCTCTTTCAGAAGAGCATGAGTCTCGTTTACGAGGCCTCCACAGTCATAACCTAATCACCCCAAAAGACTCTATCTCCTGATGCCATCACCTTAAGTAGGTGGGGGTTAGGATTTCAACATATAAATTTGGGAGAGACACAAACCCTCAACTCAGACCATAACATTCTACGCCTAGCCTCCCAAATTTCATGTTCTTCTCACGTGCAAAATGCATTCAGTTCATTCCCATGCTTCCAAAAGTCTTAACTCACTCCAGTATCTACTCGGAAGCCTGTAGTCCAAAGTCTCATTTAAACAGCACCTACATTATATATGGGTGAGACGAAAGGTATGATTCATTCTGAGGCAATTTCCCCTCCAGCTGTGAACCTGTGAAATTAAACAAGTTAAAGACTTCCAAAATACAATGGAGGGACAGGCACAGAAAAAAATTTCCATTTCAAAAGAGAGAAACAGAAAAGAAGAAAGGATAGGTCCCAAGCAAAGTCCAAAATTTTGTCTTGAGAATAATCTTTGGCTCAATGTTCTGTCCTCTAGGCTCACTGGGGCTGTGGTCCTGCCTTCCCAACCCACAGGGGTGGTGGCCCTCCCCACTCTGTGCCCTGGTGGCTCCCAGAGCTAGAATTGTGTCTGTGGCTCTACAGCCTGGAGTGATCCTACCACTCAGCTATCCTGGATGTTGCTCTAGTGAGGGCTCTCTGTGGGGTCTCATGGTTGCTTGCTCAAGCTTTTGCACATTGGAGGTGGCAGCCCCAATTACTTCTGCATCACCTTAAGCAATAGGTTCCACTTGGTTGACTAATCTCCTTATCAGATGGTTATTTGGCCACACCCTTGGTGTTCTCTCCCAAGGTGCCTTCTCATGTTTTTTTTTATCTTTAAGAGATGGACTCTCACTATGTTACTCAGGCTAGTCTCAAATTCCTGGGCTTAAGAGATCCTCCTGCCTCAGCTTCTCTAATAGTTAGGACTACAGGCATGAATCACTGTACCCGAGATCTCATTTTTTATAATA